CTGAGAGGCGAGAAGGTCGGGACGCTGGTCCTGGTGTCGGTCCTGGTCTAAATAATACTACACACATGGTACACACATGGTATACACATGGTGTACACATGGTATACACATGGTGTACACATGGTACACACATGGCACACAGATGATACACACATGGTACACACATGATACACACATGATACACACATGGTGCACACATGGTGCACATATGGTACACACATGGTACACACATGGTACACACACGGTACACACGTGAAGTGTTATACAAGTTCCATTACAACAGATAGAGAGGGTAAAAACTAGATTTCTGCAAGAGTGACTGGAACCAGACCAGACCAGACCAGACCATACCATAATGGAGCTTTCGCGAAAGTTCACCGTGGTAGACCCGGCTGTTGCTGCCAGGCCACAGGCTGCTCTTCCTCGACTCATCAATACCAGCAACGCCCACACCCAGTCAACCAATAACCACCAGGACAGCAAGTTAAAAGCCGGAGACGCCCACTTCCCGATCTTCTGAAGTCTGCAAGCGACCGCGGACAGTTTAATCCCGGAGTCTAGGCTGCAGGCGGCTGGTTTTTGCCCTACGCACTTGACTGCAGGCGTCAGTCTTCGCCCCGTGCTTGGTCTGCAGGCTCCGTTTTACACGTGTTGAGCTAACTGAGGGACAATGCATCTTAAATGGCATCAATCTCCAATGTCTGAGGGATATAAGAGGAGCAATGTGCATTAATTCAGATTCATGTTCTGCCACTTGCAGTAAAACCACGTTGTAAAAAATGTGCAAAGGCTACCCCATCGTGCTCCAGACGGCACACACAGAGCTCTTGCCACGGCGCCATCTTTACAGCATCAATCTCATTACTCGCAAGTCACTATTGTTAAATGATGTATTTAAATTCGTCTATCTGCAGGAGGAAGGAGGGGCCTGCATTTAAATAGCTAGGTCACTAGTATTAAATTGGGTAACTAAACTGCAGTTGTTGCATTTCGAAAGTGCAGCAGAAAGAAAAGGGGCCCAATGTGAATCTGCAATGGGTTTGAAGTGGAGCTGGAGCTAATGAACGCATGGAAAAGTGATCGTTCATGCGTATCTGCCATAACCAAAGCAGCAAGATGGCTCCAGGGGACGTCTGTTATTCGCATGGGAATGTTTCGGATTCGGGTTGATTTATTTCCTCAGGCTCTTAAACAACCGTGGGCATGGTTCTCTGACCGCCGCTGCTGCGGTCCCTGCTGCCGTTCCTACTGATGCCTGATCCCGCTGCTGCCTATTCCCGCTGCTGCCTGTTCCTGCTGCCTATTCCCGCTGCTGCCTGTTCCTGCTGCCTGCTCCTGCTGCTGCCTGTCCCTGCTGCCTGCTCCTGCTGCTCCTACTACTACATGTGCCGCTGCTGCTGTTCCTGCCGCTGCCGCTCCGCAGGCTCCCAGGCTGCACCTGTCTCTACGGCTCGGCTCTTCAGACACGTACGTAACCTGGCTCACGGAGACAAGCGGCGCACGCTGGCGTGACACGTCTGTTGTTCGTATGAATTGCATTGTGCTGCTGCTGCTTGCTGCTTCTGCTGCCGCTACTGCTGCTATTGCTGCCGCTGCTGCTTCATACTGCTACCGCTTCCGTGCTGCTGCTGCTTCTTTACTTTGACACCTCTCTTCACTGCGCATCTCTTTTACTGAAACACTAAACAGCTTCAACTATATTCTACTGCGGTGGCTTGATACAGGATTATTGCTGTTATTATCTACGGATGCTGCAGCTGCTGCTGCTGCTTCATGCTGCTACCGTTACTGCTGCTACTGCTGCCGCTGCTGCTTCATACTGCATCTGCTGCCGTGCTGCTGCTGCTTCATGCTGCTACCGTTACTGCTGCTACTGCTGCCGCTGCTGCTTCATACTGCATCTGCTGCCGTGCTGCTGCTGCTTCATGTACTTGACATCTCTCTTCACTTGGCATCTCTTTTACTGAAACACTAAACAGCTACAACAATATTCTACTGCTCTGGCTTTGATACAGGATTATGGCTGTTATTATCTACGGATGCTGCAACCGCTGCTGCTTCATACTGCTACTGCTGCTACTGCTAATGCTGCTTCTGCTGCTTCATACTGCTACCGTTACTGCTGCTGCTACTGCTGCGCTGCTGCTGCTGCTTCATGTACTTTGACATCCCTCTTCACTTCGCATCTCTTTTACTGAAACACTAAACAGCTACAACAATATTCTACTGCTCTGGCTTTGATACAGGATTATTGCTGCTATTATCGACGGATGCTGCAGCTGCTGCTGCTTCATACTGCTACTGCTGCTGCTGCTTCATACTGCTACTGCTGCTGCTGCTTCATACTGCTACTGCTACTGCTGCTGCTTCATACGGCTACTGCTGCTACTACTGCTGCTGCTGCTTCATTTACTTTGCCATCTCTCTTCACTTCGCATCTCTTTTACTGAAACCCTGAACAGCTACAACAACATTCTACTACCGTGGCTTTGATACAGAATTATTACTGTTATTTTCTAAGGACGCTGCTGCTGCTGTTGCTGCTGCTGCTACTGCTGCTGCCGCGGCTTGATACAGGACTTTTGCTGTTATTATCTGAGGCTACTGCTGCTGCCGCTGCTGCTACTGCTACTGCAACCCATTCTCTCAGAAGCTTATCCTGCTTCTAATGGATGCAGCCCGGCTGAGTATGCCGCGCCGCGCTGGCCTCGCACCTATGCTCCCAGGGTCGCTTCGGCGGTCATGCTTCATCTCTCTACCTAATCTTCTGATTCTATCAGATGCAGCCGGCCGAGTAGCTGCGCTGAGCCGTCAATCGGACTCCTAATCAAAGGCATCCATACCTGTATTCTTCACTCTTCTGATCACAGGCTCCCCATCGTGCTGCCCATCCTGCAGCGGCTCTGAGCGGCACTGAACTCCGGCTCATCTTCCAAGTACATGTCTGCCCTCCTCGCAGCATCTTCTGCTCGCCTTCTGTGGCTTCTCTGCATAAGCGTTTCACCACTGCTCACTCAACCTTCAATGCGGTCCGAGACACGGCTTTTCCCGTCCTATCCTACTGGCCTAATTATCTACTCTCCAACCCAAGATTCTAAGCGTAAGGGCGCCTGCAACATCAATGGCCCTCTCCGGTGTGTCTCTCTGCCCCTACAGGTCTCCGCTTCTACACGGACGCTGCCCCTTCCGTGGGTTTTTGGGGGATTCTTCCAGGACCAGTGGTTCGCCGGCCGTGGCCCGCTACTTTCCCCGGAGCATTTCCTCTGCCCTACACGAGACATTCCCAGTGGTCGTGGCCTGCGCGCTGCGGAATCACACGTGGCAGAGAAAGAGGATCTCTGTCATGCGTGATCATCTCGACGTAGTGGAAGCATTAAACAAAGGTCGCTCTTCTCACCCAACATAATGTCCCCTGACCATTCAACCTTCATCTCAAACATTCAAAGATCAGAGGCGCCTGCAACACAATAATAGCTCGCTTCGACACATCTCTCTGCCCCTACAGGTCCATGATGCGTTACACTCGCCTCCGCTGCAAAAAGGAGATTTTAACGGACCTCTAATTCTCACTCCAGTCAACCTTCCCATAACAGCAACCTGGTTCAGAGCTCAGCTAAGATCCCTACTGGATGCCACGCGCGCGACCTCGCTGGGGCTCCCCCACTCTTCCTCTGCAACAGCTGGGGCGCTGGTCCTCTTCGGCTTCTCCACCTACATCAGGCCAGATGCGACCGCTATCATGGCAGCACAACGTCTACCGGCTTCCTCGTAAGCTCCCAGCAAAGCAAGTAAGCAATAAGATTCTGGTGGCGGCACGCACTTTCCTCAAACGCTCAAAGATTCCTTGCTTCAGCGTCTGGCTGAATATGAGCGTGCGCTCATATTCTCAGCTCGCTCAAAGATTCCTCTGCTGCGGCTGGCTGAACATGCGCGTGCGCGCATGTTCTCAGCTTGCTCAAAGATTCCCCTGCTGCGGCTGGCTGAGCATGCGTGTGCGCGCATGTTCTCAGCTCGCTCAAAGATTCCTCTGCTACAGCGGCTGGCTGAACATGCGCGTGCGCGCATGTTCTCAGCTCGCTCAAAGATTCCCCTGCTGCGGCTGGCTGAACATGCGCGTGCGCGCATGTTCTCAGCTCGCTCATGCTCTCAGGCCCGCGCAGTGCGTCCTGCTATCCCAATCGCAGGCCCGCTTTTTGGGGATCATGCACGCGAGCAAGCGCCGTGCTCAACAGCATCCCGCCCGGGCCTAGGGCGCCAAACATGCTCAATCAATAAACATGCTTAAATCTAATAAGTCTAATGCGTTTTCCTCATGGGTCTCTCCAAGGTGAACCTCACTCAGACTTGGTTTCGTAAATAACATTCACGTCAATTCTTTTTTGATCGCCCTAAAGCAAAAAGGCAGTTGGCGATTCACCAACAACTGATCAGAGAATCAAGGGGAGACCAGAGAGAGACCAGAGAGATACCAGAGAGAGACCAGAAAGAGACCAGAGAGAGACCAGAGAGAGACCAGAGAGAGACCAGAGAGAGACCAGAGAGAGACCAGAGAGGGACCAGAGAGAGACCGGAAAGAGACCAGAGAGAGACCAGAAAGAGACCAGAGAGAGACCAGAGAGATACCAGAGAGAGACCAGAAAGAGACCAGAGAGAGACCAGAGAGAGACCAGAGAGAGACCAGAAAGAGACCAGAGAGAGACCAGAGAGAGACCAGAAAGAGACCAGAGAGTGACCAGAGAGAGACCAGAGAGGGACCAGAGAGAGACCGGAAAGAGACCAGAGAGAGACCAGAAAGAGACCAGAGAGAGACCAGAGAGTGACCAGAGAGAGACCAGAGAGAGACCAGAAAGAGACCAGAGAGAAACCAGAGAGTGACCAGAGAGAGATCAGAGAGAGAGACCAAAGTTAAACTAGAGAGAGACCAGAGAGAGACCAGAGAGAGACCAAAGTTAAACTAGAGAGAGACCAGAGAGAGACCAAAGAGAGAGACCAAAGTTAAACTAGCGAGAGACCCTGACCTTCTTGGTCTTCACCGTGGACTGGCAGCAGTCTCCGCCGTCGTAGTTGCAGAAGGCTCTGTTGTTCACCGCGTCACAGTAGTTATCGCCCATGAACGGCTGCAGCGAGGAACACAAGGTTATTTATATGGCACAGTTCAGAGACACAGAGAAACGGAGACGGCATGTTTATAGACAGTATGAGGACAGTATGAGGAGGACCGTGAGGAGGACAGTATGAGGAGGACCGTATGAGGAGGACAGTATGAGGACCGTATGAGGACAGTATGAGGAGGACCGTATGAGGAGGACAGTATGAGGAGGACAGTATGAGGACAGTATGAGGAGGACAGTATGAGGAGGACAGTATGAGGACAGTATGAGGAGGACAGTATGAGGAGGACAGTATGAGAAGGACAGTGTGAGAAGGACAGTATGAGAAGGACAGTATGAGGAGGACAGTATGAGAAGGACAGTATGAGGAGGACAGTGTGAGGAGGACAGTATGAGAAGGACAGTATGAGGAGGACAGTATGAGGAGGACAGTATGAGGACAGTATGAGGAGGACCGTATGAGGAGGACAGTATGAGGACAGTATGAGGAGGACCGTATGAGGAGGACAGTATGAGGAGGACAGTATGAGGACAGTATGAGAAGGACAGTATGAGAAGGACAGTATGAGGAGGACAGTATGAGGAGGACAGTATGAGAAGGACAGTATGAGAAGGAGAGTATGAGGAGGACAGTATGAGAAGGACAGTATGAGGAGGACAGTATGAGGAGGACAGTATGAGGAGGACAGTATGAGGACAGTATGAGGAGGACAGTATGAGGACAGTATGAGGAGGACAGTATGAGGACAGTATGAGGAGGACAGTATGAGGACAGTATGAGGAGGACAGTATGAGGACCGTATGAGGAGGACCGTATGAGGAGGACCGTGAGGAGGACAGTATGAGGAGGACCGTATGAGGAGGACAGTATGAGGACCGTATGAGGACAGTATGAGGAGGACAGTATGAGGACAGTATGAAGAGGACAGTATGAGGACAGTATGAGGACAGTATGAGGACAGTATGAGGAGGACAGTATGAGGAGGACAGTATGAGGACAGTATGAGGACAGTATGAGGAGGACCGTATGAGGAGGACAGTATGAGGACAGTATGAGGAGGACCGTATGAGGAGGACAGTATGAGGACAGTATGAGGAGGACAGTATGAGAAGGACAGTATGAGGAGGACAGTATGAGGAGGACAGTATGAGGAGGACAGTATGAGGAGGACCGTATGAGAAGGAGAGTATGAGGAGGACAGTATGAGGAGGACAGTATGAGGAGGACAGTATGAGGAGGACAGTATGAGGAGGACCGTATGAGAAGGAGAGTATGAGGAGGACAGTATGAGGAGGACAGTATGAGGAGGACAGTATGAGGACAGTATGAGGAGGACAGTATGAGGAGGACAGTATGAGAAGGAGAGTATGAGGAGGACAGTATGAGGAGGACAGTATGAGGACAGTATGAGGAGGACAGTATGAGGAGGACAGTATGAGGAGGTCATCTCTGTTAAGGCGCGTTCAGACGCTGACGCCTCACGCACCAGACGCACATTCTCTAGTTTTCAGACGCAGGGTTCTTCAGACCAAAGTCCTGCTGCGGTGGCGCCCGCCGGAAGTGGCGGAAGTAGCGAGCGGACTTTGATGCTAACGGAGTTAAGCTAGCAGCTTTTTGTGTAAAGTTCTTCTCCAATAATGCAGCTCTGCAGCGTCTCTGTGTCTGAGACTTTATATAACAGCAGTATGTGTTCACAGTGACTTTATATAACAGTAGTATGTGTTCACGGTGACTTTATATAACAGCAGTATGTGTTCACAGTGACTTTATATAACAGCAGTATGTGTTCACAGTGACTTTATATAACAGCAGTATGTGTTCACAGTGACTTTATATAACAGCAGTATGTGTTCACGGAGGTGACTTTATATATCTGCTCGCTCAGGCCAGTAATGTCCCAGTGACCACTCTGCTGCTCTCTGATTGGTCGCTGCACGAGTGTCCCGAGGAAATGTTCAGCAATATTTATCTCCTGCGTCTCTACGGCGCAGTCCGTGCGTCTCTACGGCGCAGTCCGTGCGTCTCTACGGCGCAGTCCGTGCGTGCATCCCGCGCTCGAACGCGCGTCACCATTGATTTTGCATTGAAAGTCGACACAACGCATGATCCAGTGTGAAAACAGGGGGGGGGGGGCAGAGAGAGAGTAATACAGAGGGAGATAGAGAGAGATACAGATTCAGACTGTGTTTGTGTGCACGTCAGCAGGATAGCTCGTTAGCTCAAAAGCATGTTAGCATGTTAGCACGCTAGCTCATTAGCACGTTAGCTCGTTAGCATGATAGCATCCTTAAATGGGTGAGTTTGTCTGATTGATCTGGTGCATTACATTTCTTCGTCTGATTGTGAGGGTGAGGCCGGGGGAGTAAATCACTCTGAGGACACCGTAAACTATTCACTCCACAAAACACTCCAATTATGTGATTCATGGCTGGCCCCGCCCCCTGCACCAGGCCACCAATCACCCGCCACCAATCACCCGCCACGGTCCCACTCTCTCTAAACGACCTCTGACATTTACATAGATTTCAACAGATTTCAACAGATAATGCCTTTGTGTGTTTTTAAGAGAGGCAGAGAGAGAGAGACCAGAGAGAGACCAGAGAGAGACCAGAGAGAGACCAGAGAGAGACCAGAGAGAGACCAGAGAGAGACCAGAGAGAGACCAGAGAGAGACCAGAGAGACCAGAGAGAGACCAGAGAGAGACCAGAGAGAGACCAGAGAGAGAGACCAGAGAGAGACCAGAGAGAGACCAGAGAGAGACCAGAGAGAGACCAGAGAGAGAGACCAGAGAGAGAGAGACCACAGAGAGAGACCACAGAGAGACCAGAGAGAGACCAGAGAGAGAGACCAGAGAGAGAGACCAGAGAGAGACCAGAGAGAGACCAGAGAGAGACCAGAGAGAGAGACCAGAGAGAGAGAGACCACAGAGAGAGACCACAGAGAGACCAGAGAGAGACCAGAGAGAGAGACCAGAGAGAGAGACCAGAGAGAGAGACCAGAGAGAGACCAGAAAGAGAGACCAGAGAGAGACCAGAGAGAGAGACCAGAGAGAGACCAGAGAGAGACCAGAGAGCGACCAGAGAGAGACCACAGAGAGAGACCAGAGAGACCAGAGAGAGACCAGAGAGAGACCAGAGAGAGACCAGAGAGAGAGACCAGAGAGAGAGACCAGAGAGAGACCAGAGAGAGAGACCAGAGAGAGAGAGAGAGAGAGACCACAGAGAGACCAGAGAGAGACCAGAGAGAGAGACCAGAGAGAGAGACCAGAGAGAGAGACCAGAGAGAGACCAGAGAGAGACCAGAGAGAGACCAGAGAGAGAGACCAGAGAGAGACCAGAGAGAGAGACCACAGAGAGACCAGAGAGAGACCAGAGAGAGAGACCACAGAGAGACCAGAGAGAGAGACCAGAGAGAGAGACCACAGAGAGACCAGAGAGAGAGACCAGAGAGAGACCAGAGAGAGAGACCAGAGAGAGACCAGAGAGAGAGACCAGATTGGCTAAACCAGTCCACACACATTCCTAATTTGTTTTGGCTCTGATTCTTTAGTTTCTAAGTGTGTGTGAGTTATTTTAAGTGTTATTAATGTGAGTTTATTATTTCTGCTGAAGTGGAACCAAAGGAAGGATGAGACCAGAGTGAGCGAGTGATGGAGGAGACCAGAGTGAGCGAGTGATGGAGGAGACCAGAGTGAGCAAGTGATGGAGGAGACCAGAGTGAGCGAGTGATGGAGGAGACCAGAGTGAGCGAGTGATGGAGGAGACCAGAGTGAGCGAGTGATGGAGGAGACCAGAGTGAGCGAGTGATGGAGGAGACCAGAGTGAGCGAGTGATGGAGGAGACCAGAGTGAGCGAGTGATGGAGGAGACCAGAGTGAGCGAGTGATGGAGGAGACCAGAGTGAGCGAGTGATGGATGAGACCAGAGTGAGCGAGTGATGGAGGAGAC